TACCGAGATCCGTCGTGTTGCCGCCGGTGAGAAAACCGGTCAGACTGTACTGGCCGCGGTATTTAAATCTGTACATGTAGACCGGGGAGGACCAGGTGGCCGCAGCGGTCAGCGCGAAGTCGTTCACTCCAGAGAAAAAGAACCCGTCCGTGATGAGCTGCGACAACCACGCAAATCTTAGTAATTAGCTATCCCGTTAGTTCACGGCCTGAATGTTCAGAACCATTCATCGATCACATTCGACAAAGCGTTTTGACTGTAGAGGTTAACATAAACAATTGCTGGAAGTCTTTGTAGAGCGGGTAAAAAATAGAACTATTATGGGAAAAGTTTCAACGACAATATACTTTATCAAGAGAAGTAGAGCCCTGATAGGATCAGAGAGACTTTTGTACTCTCCACTGTAATTCGAAGTGTGATACTTTTCACACATTTTCGTGTGATAAAATGACCTGAGTAATTCTCATGATTTATCACTCCTGGGGGAGTGATGCATTTTTAGCCTATCACAAATTTTGTGTGGGGGCACAATGTGAACTAAAACAAGCCATGTAAGACCAAACCCAGACACTTAAAAAAAAAGGTTTCTCTGTTAAAAATAAAATAAATAAATGAAATGTCCCAATTAAAATACAAATAATAGAATTACTGGTTCAAACAGCATGATTATACATAGTAGTTCACATCGTGCCCCCAAGTGTTAAAGAAAGAAACTTATGAAATTTTTGTAGTGAAGCAGGTTTTGGGGGGAAAGTGTGCGCACTGTAGGAGAATGCTGTTTTATTTATTGTGTTACAGGCAAATTGCTGCCTGAGGAAATCGAGGAGGTGAAAGTGATAACCCCTATGCTTACATTTTTCGGGCTTCTTTACTCATATTTCCAAACTTAAGGGTGCAGACCTATGAAATGAAGGGTTGCGGAGTCACTAAATTAAAACTCAACGCCGCATCGATTTAGGACTAAAAGTAGTGTATTAATAACATAACCGGGCGCTAATTTTGCCGCTGGTGCCGGTGCGCGCACTTTGCTCATCTTCACCTGCAACTGGACGATGCAGTCCCTATCGGTGTGCACGACTGTGCTGCAACGTATGGGTCTAACACTGTAAATTGCTTACGAACAATACGTTCGTAATGCAAACCAAAACGTTCGTATCTTACGAAGGATTTTGAAGCGTTGTATTACGAACTAATTGTTCGTAAGCT